GGTATGTTTTATCTGACATCTTGTTCAAAACATTTTAGCTACTGTGTTTAATGTTGATTTGAAAAATCTTTTAAAATATTTCTTGTATTTTCTTCTCTATGCAGCAGCTGCTTTCTATTTGGAAAGTATAGATAAAGGGCTTCGTGTGTGAGATGTCCAAAGCTGCCTGTTCACATTTGTACTGGAAATTACCCAGTCTTTCATCAAAATCAAGGATTCATTGCAGCATATTACAACACGTGAAAACAGATACACAGGAAATCATTATATTTACTCCAGCTTCCCATATTTCACTTTAATTTTATTGAGCATGGGCTACATGTTTTATAAAGCAGGAAACTACTTTTTAATGAATCCCATTCTTTTTCTTGAACTTGAATTCAAAATGGATTGCCAATCAGTTGTTGAATTTCTCATTTGTTAATCCCATTACAGGAATGAAGGCAAATATTGCCAAAGAAAAAAATATAGGTATGGTAAATATTTGCTAGGGGCAAGCATGCTAATATTGGATTATTTTCCCTTGGAACTCAAGTCTTCTTTTTCCTAAACTTTACATTATTATGTGTATTTATATTACATTTAATATATTCTGAGCACCTTTCTTCCTATTGTTGAGATATGTTATTTATTTTATTTATTTAGGGTATATCATATCATACATGGACCTGCAATGTATATTAACATTTCACCTAGATTAATTAAACGCAATAAAATATAAATATTAAAAAGAGCTAAATTCAAATACCAATGAGATGTGTATTTTAATGTGATGTTTTCCTTCTTTATATCAACAATTAATATTCTTGCTTTAAGTCAGGGGTCCCCAACCACCAGGCCGCGGACCGGTACCGGTCCGCGGAACAAGTCCTACCGGGCCGCTGGTTGCTGGGCGCCGCCATCTTTTTTTGATGAAAAAGTGCTTCCGGTGAGCTTTTCCGGGTAGAAAGCTCACCGGAAGCACTTTTTCATCAAAAAAAGATGGCGCCTAGCTGATGCCGGTACCGGGCCGCGGCGCCCAGCTGATGCCGGTACCGGGCCGCGGCATAAAAAAGGTTGGGGATCACTGCTTTAAGTGACACAAATTGGACTTAAAGATGAAGAGTCAAGGATTAAAAAAGTATTTGGGTGTAAAATTTTTTGGCAGGGTGGGGTAAAGCTGCATCCTGAAATCAGAGACCCTTTCCTGGTCCGGTAAGTGGAATTTGAACAAGACAAAGAACCAAACCAATATAAAGCATCTCTCCCTCTCAGAATTGGCATATACAATTCCACAAACAAAATGTGTTGTCAAAATAATTGGCTTTTCCTGTTGGTGGAAGGAGGTGCCAGCTTGTACAAGCACTTTTTGAAATAATGACACAGATTGTTTCACAGTTCCCACAGCCTTCATGTAACTGTGACACTTGTGGCCTTAGAGTATTCAGTCCAGACACAAGGGAGGTTGTCTATTTTGTAATAAGCGTGAAAGAAGGGTCAAGTGCTAATATAGCAGCATCTGTAGAACTCTAAATAATTGTAACAGTCAGAAGTGCACAATGAATGCTTCCCCCTCCTCTTTTGGGGAGAATGAGGTAATATACTGTTAGTGTCTTTTCCTTCCCTAACAGATGTTTTTATTTGGTTATAATATTCATCTGATTGCATGAAAAATATGTAAAAAGCTCTATCTGGATGCATGCAATGTCATAATAAAAGCCACATGGTTTCATTTATTATTTTGGGGGTACACATAAGATATTACCAGAGTTTCTAGCCATGTTATTTTTATCTTTGGAAATCCATAGGTTTAAAAAAAGGGAAGAAAGAGTAGTGAAAATAATTGGATTCCTCCTTTGTCCCGTTCCTTCATTTTGTGACCTATTTATTCACTTAATTTATTAGATTTTCATCCCATCTTTATTACTTGATAAGTAACTCAAGACGGCAAACATACCTAATACTCCTTTCTCTTCACAACAACTCTGTCAAGTAAATTGAACTGGAAGAGAGTGAACGTACTAACTTAAAGCCATTTAATCAAAGGCAATTTTGGTGTTGTTACTCTGCTTTGGGATTGCAGCATCTGTCTAAAGCACGGGTGGGAAACAATGACCCTTTTATGACTTGTGGACTTCAACTCCCAGAATTCCTGAGCCAAAAGGGCTGTCTCGGGAATTCTGGGAGTTGAATTCCACAAGTGATAATTGGGTCATAGTTCCCCACCTCTAAAGCAACATCAAGGAGTCTTTGTGTCAGAACTCTAGATTATCAATATTTAATAGCCAATATTCTAACAGTGGTAGAAAACAGATGTACATATATCCTTTCTCAACTGATTTTTTTTTTTAACGTCAACATCTCATTTCACATGAATTGAACGTTCAGTTAGGATCTAATGATTCTATGAATTGAACATTCTATTAGGGATCTAATGATTAATTTTGCAATGATCAATTTTCCTTTTAGTCTCCATAAGACTGAGCACACCAGCGAGCTTCAATTGCATTGGACTTTTGAACTAATAAGTAACTTATTTTCACTAATTTAAGACAGATTCTCCAATTTTGCTAGGATCTGTTGTTGGCATTTTGCTGCTCTCTTCCTTGGAGATTGTCTAGCGTCTATCTAGCTTATCTAAATAATGATATTATGATTAATAGGAAGGAAGAAACATGACAACTTCTTGAGGTGAGAATCAAAATCAACCAAACTTATTACTTAATCAGTGGTATAACTGCTTGATTCCCGGGTATATGCATTTCCTGCTTAACTGTGTTAATACGTACTATATCTTTTCTAATGCTAAATATATATAAGGCGCTTTATGTACTAACACAGCCCAAGAGGAAGTCTATGTGTAAGCTAAAGTGTATGAATCTAGTTGATTGCAGAACATCTAAAATTTGGGTTGCAGTAGCATCAATTTCCTATTCTACAAATTATAAGGGGCAAATTTATAGAAAATGGTAGGATCTCAGTTTGTACAGAGAAGAGAGGAAGAAAAAAATAGTGATATTTATAAAATAGAATTCTCTGGTTTTTTTTAAAAATACTATCATATTAGAAAGAGGCTTGGAATGATCTCAGAATCCCATGAAAACGAAATGATTTGTGTATGTGTAAGTGTGCATGCTTTTCATTCAGTTTTCTTAAATGGAAAGAGAGAGGAAAAAACATACTTTTTCTCATTTACTAGTTGTCATCTGCCATTTTCACAGCTCTGTCTTCAATTATATTCCTTGTGGTTGATGAACTATAAATTTTGATGAGTCAGCTGATTTACAGTATATATCCTAAGGGACAGCAAAAAATGTCAGAACAATGTCTTCAGAATTACGCATTAAAAATGTGGTTGCTGTTATTATTAAATTATCCTTTCCAACTGTTCTTTTCTTTCCAAGAGAAAACAATGAGGAATACCATGCAAAGTAAACAACCAATTGATTAAAGTCACAATTAACATAATATTTCAATAAACCAAATCTATAAGTTATATATAATGATAATATAGCAATAGCAATAGCACTTAGACTTATATACCGCTTCACAGTGCTTTACAGTCCTTTCTAAGCAATATAAAACAGTAACTACACACAAAACAATCTTGGTGTCCTTACTAAAACCAAACCACAGATCAGGCATAATTTAATAAATAATTAAGGCCATTAAGTGCCAGAAATGAAATAATATGAAATAAAACTAAGCCATAACAAGTGAACCAAGAAGAATGCGATGGTGTCAGAGTATTTCCTTGCATTACCCCTTGTTTCTCAATCTAGTTTTTGAAGTGTTTCCGTGCTACAGTTCAAAGATTGCTGGGTATTTATCTTTTCCTTTTTATACTGTTCTCCAGAAAGGGAAACCCAGAGTTTCAAAACACGATTGGAATGATTTTTCTTCCCTCTGAGAAAATGTTTCAGTAGAGCATAGTGAAGTCTAATTTGGACAGTTCTCTTATTAAAGTTTTAATTCATTTTTCAATTCCAAAATGAATTAAAATTGAGAAACCAACAAAAAATAATGCAGGTATTCCTTGACTTACCACCACAATTGGACCCAACATTTCTGTTGCTAAGCGTGACAGTTGTTAATTGAGTTCTGCCCGATTTTACAAGTTTTTTTTTGCCACATTTAAGCAAATCACTGCATTTGTTAAATGAAGCGTGGTCACTGAGCGAATCTGGCTTCATTAACTTTAAGATTATAAATGGTGATCACATGACACTAGGACAGTGCAAGTGTCGCAAATACATGCCAGTTGCCAAGCACCTGAATTTTGATCATGTAACCATGGGGATGCTTCAACAGCTGTACATTTGAAAACTGGTCCTAAGTCACTTTTTTCAGAGCGCATGTAACTTCGAATGAATGTAAGTCAAGGACTACCTGTAACTATAGATAAAACAAGAACCATCAAAGAAAACAGCAAACAGTTTGTCACCTTTCAAGAACTGTTGGAGAAGCCGATGGGGCTGAAATAGATAAAGCCGTGTCTCCTTTTTTCACCTTTCTTTTCATGCTACAATGTGAGAAACCACTGAGGAAGGGAGTCCGTTTCCTCAGGCATTTTACGATTTCCCTTTTTAAACTCTCCAACTTTCTTTTTAAGAAATTAAGATTATTAGTAACTAGATATTGTATGTTTTAACTATTCTATTAACTGAAGATAGAATGGAATAAATTGTGTCTCTTGTGAAATTTTTGAAGTGCTTATATTTGCATCTGTGTGAATGTGTTTCTAATGGGGAAAATTAAACATAGGAGCCATTTCTTACCAACTTAACAATAAACGGTATTTATCACTTAATATAAATTCCTATAAAACTGTATATTTTGATATATGCAAAACAACTCTATTGATAAATAAAATTGTGACTTGTTTAGAACTTTACAATCATGAGTTAAATAATAGCACTTTAACTACTCTGGCTTTCAAATAAAGAAAATTCTAATGAATTGTCAGAAATCATTTTTAGCACTGACCTGTAGTTGTTGTTTTTTTCTCTTTGAATTTTTAGGAATATGACATTATCCAAGAAAACGTCAAACCAGGACACCTAGCGGACTAAGGATTTCTGTTGGAGAAATCTTTTTTCCTCTCTGGAAATATATATAAATACTTATATATACATACATAAGAATACCATTATTCTAGTGCCTCGCTGTGGTTGGAATTTGGCAGCTGGAAGATATGTCCATTGCACTCAAGCAAGTTTTTAATAAGGACAAGACATTCCGTCCCAAACGGAAATTTGAACCTGGGACCCAGAGGTTTGAGCTTCACAAACGAGCGCAAGCTTCACTCAATTCTGGAGTGGACCTGAAGGCAGCTGTGCAGCTGCCCACTGGAGAAGATCTAAACGATTGGGTTGCTGTTCACGTAGTTGACTTTTTCAATAGGATCAACCTAATTTATGGAACTATCTGTGAGTTTTGCACAGAGAGAACCTGCCCTATGATGTCAGGTGGGCCTAAGTATGAATACCGGTGGCAGGATGATCTAAAGTACAAGAAACCTACACCATTACCAGCACCCCAGTATATGAATCTTTTGATGGACTGGATTGAGGTGCAAATCAACAATGAGGACATATTTCCAACTAGTGTAGGTAAGTTTATCCATGTCTAAGCATTGTACCCTTTCAGTAGTTTTCTCCTAGAATCTGTCAATGGTATTTAAAAAAATGGAAACAGTAACAATTCCAGGACTTTTTATTAAAGGTTCGATTTTTGCCGTTGTATAGCGTATATGAATAAATGAATTGCAAAGAGACATTGGTTTGTATTTGTTGCAGAGGAAGAGTTCCAGAGTAGCAAAAAAGGGAAGTAATTAAGTCACCAGTTCCCTTACATTCTGTCATGTAAAATGAGTATTGAATGTATATAATTGAATTTCAGTTTATTTCTGTTATATATACTTCTTTATTTCTTCAATTCAGTGACAGAACAACTGTGGGCAGCTTAAATATAAAAACAGAATACAAATACAATAATGTAAATAAAGTATACAATAAGGGAAATAACAAAACAGCAATCCCGAGCACATTTTCACTACAGATACAACATTTTCACTACAGATACAGATCAAACACCTCTAACATCTACCCTACTATCAAGTTGGGAGGGGCTGTGCAAATTTTGCATGAAACTCATTCCAGAAGGCAGACACCGGGACAGAAACATATTGTTGATTTAACATATGTTGATTTATAGTGAGACCTAAGAACAATATGGTTTTTCTACATTCTGCTATTGTATTTAGGACCAAGTCCAATGGCATCACAGCTGCCGTTTTAAAAAGATCCAGATGGTAGGATTGTACATTTTAGAATGTTATATATAGTATTGTCCGTGGTGCCAGTAAGTAGCAGCCTGGTTATTATACACATTGCAAAAGGGCCATAGTGAAGCATTCTATATTTTTAAAGAGTTCTCCAATTATTACCAATAAGGCGTAGGATGGCTCATACGATGTCACACATAGCCTAATGGCCATGGCAAAACCTTTCTGCTGATATTCTGATATTCTACCTATTATTAGTTGGAATTCAATGATGTCTCATCCAGTGGTTGGATTCAAAAAATTTACTACCAGTTCTATGGGCGTGGCTTGGTGGGCGTGGCAGGGGAAGGATACTGTAAAATCTCCAATCAGAGGTGGTATTTGCCAGTTCTCCAAACTACTCAAAATTTCCGCTACCGGTTCTCCAGAACTGGTCAGAACCTGCTGAATACCACCTCTGGTCTCATCCTTAATAATGTCCCACCTGTGTTGGATTGGGGAAAATCTCCCCAACGATTCAGAATATTCAAAAAGAGCTGCTCCAAAGATCTGGGCTGACCAAGAGTATATAAGCTTTAGACTAGAGAAAAAATATGGACAAAACTTCTTGCTTCTCACTGAGCTTGATTATTTCAGACATTTCATTACTCAAACTAGATAACATCATCAGTGCTAGTATTGAGTAGGTTTTGCTCTCATTTTCCTCCCTACCAGCACTGATGATGTTACCTAGATTGGGTAACGAAACATCTGCAAGAAAATAAGCAAGCTCAGAGAGCACCAAGGACCCCCTCATTTCAATCCTGAGCTACAGATATTCTCCTCTATCAGAATAAACTCCGATTAGATTAAGCCTAGCTCATGGCGTGTGGCAAAAAAGCATGGTGGCAACACCAATCATTTCTTCTTTTTTTGTGGTGAGGCAGTGATGGTTTTAGGGAAAGTACATTTGCTTCTGTGAAGACAAAGAACAGTTCCTTGGACAACCGATGCTTTATCCATCAGACTGTATCTCACAGATGGTTTATATTGCTGGATTTAGGCCTGTATTATTAGAAAGTGACTCTTAGTTTACACTGTTGTATAAATGGCTGTATACTGCTTAAATGGCATTTCTAATGGTTATTTGCAAAATTTGTATGTTTTCTGGGTTAATCCTTGTAAATTGTCCTTCTTTAATTTTATATGCATCCATATAGAATATTTAGAGAAGGATTTCAAGAAATGCAATTAAGTAGAATGTTTGTTTAGGACTTAGTTCTTAAAGAGGAAGCAAGTAATTTCTGGAAGAACATGAATGCTTTGAGATAAGCAATTTCCCTTTCACATTTTCTCTTGTTTGCCCCTCTCAAGAAACACTGAGATTGATTGTAATACATTACTAGTAGGAACAAGAAGAATGAATGTTGTATTGGTAATTTATACTAAAACCACATTTTTGGGAGTTATTTTTCCAAAAGAAAACTCAAAACCTCTGTGTGTGCTAGGTTAGAAGATGTCTGTTTTGAATTCGTTGAATTCAAAGATTTGAACTTTGAGTTCTTTGGATTATACTGGAAATATTTGTGATGATACATGTAATAATCAGTAGCAGCTGAACTGCAGGGGCAGATATTAAATCCTCAGCCCACTTCTTGATATTTGGAGAAAGTTTTTGAATGTCACTTATTCAGTCAAAACATTTTTAGAATCCAAATTTGCTATATATTGCTATATATTTTTTCCAACATAGACAAGTTTGGCAGTTTCAAAGTTGTAGGATGGTTGCAGGGAATTCATGGTGTACTTTCCTACTCTAAATCAGTAGTTACAAGAACAGAGGAAAAAAAATTAGGGGTAGAAGCTGCAGACAGATAAGAATGACAAGCATCTCTTGTTTCCTGTACACCCATGAATGATGATGTTACACAGATGACTTCCTGTTGGGATCAAATAGGAAGGACCCAGAAACACTATTGAATGGAGTAGAGCAGGGGTGTCAAACTTGATTTCCTTGAGGGCCACATCAGGGTTGTGTTTGACCTTGGAGGCTGGGGAGGCGTGGCCAGGGTGGGTGTGGCCAGCTCAATGTCCGTTTTCAGCTGTGACTGCCTCCTGCAGCCCTCTGCTAATGAAAACAGAGCTCAGGAGGACTACACGTGCCCCTGAGCGCAGTGCGGGCCGGTTCTTCGCTGTTTCCAGGGTGGCCCTGCGGGCCAGATCTAAGTATCCCACAGGCCTTGAGTTTGACACCCCTAGTGTAGAATAAACACTGTGATCCGGTCATCCCATTGGTGTCATCTCTGTTGGTCTGCTAGACCCTTCTCAGGCGAGTCCCAATATTTAATCTAAGCAAAAACTAGTCAAAACAATAACATATCATTACAGCACACCAGATTACGTATATTAGATTTGAGAATAATGTGGCTATTATAATATAATAATGAAAAAGTTACTGAAGCCAAGAAGGAAATTGCCCAATGCAGAATACTGTAGGCAGGAGTATGCCAACAATATTACAAACATGAAGACACATTTAATGTAGTGGAAAAAAATATCCAGAAAGAATATAAATGTTTTACAGAATGCTAATAGGGGAACACAGTGATGAAGCTATCATCTGAGAGAAGCCTATTCAGGAATCGCCTTCTTTTTGAGCTTCCAACAAAATATTTTATCTGCCCAGCAAAGCGTTTAGTTTCTTTGAATGTATTGTTCATGCATCATTAATTGTGTACATCCTTTTAAGCAGTCTCTTATTCTGGTGAGGGATGTTTAAGTTAATCTCAAGCCTTTCACTGTGGGCCATGATAAAGAAAGCAAGAATGATACAGATGTCAGGAAAGTATGTTAATACTGTACAAGGATTAGAGCTAAAATGTAGCATTAGAAATCCTAGTTCCGATTTGTTGGTAAATTCATTAAGGCAGAGTCTCTCTGAATACTTCAAATCTCCTCCATGCTTTCTGCAGTTTGGATCGAGTTGCCATTTATGAAATAAGCAACTATTATTTATGTCTCTTTATACACAATCCAAAACCAAGGCAGCTGTTTATCTCTAACAGGTTAGATTTGGAGGGTGTTTTGCCCTCATTTAGTTTTGCCCCTTTGGGTGCTGCATCAAAGAATCTCAATTATAGGAATCAGTGTGTATCTCTTCACATTGTATTAGTTTAATTTGCAAAATTGTAATTGTAAACACTTTTTGTTTGTTTATTTATTTAGGATCTGAGGCCAAATTTTGAAATAAGTGTCCATACAAATATTAAAATGATAAAATAGTAAAACGGTTGTGAGAAATAAAGAGAAGTATAGGTAGTCCTTAAATTACAACTACAGTTAGCCCAAAATTGCTAAATGAGACAATTGTTAAGCGAGTTTTGCCCTTTTTATGACTTATTTGCCACAATTGTTAAGTGAATTATTGAAGTTGTTAAGTTAGTAACATGGTTGTAAAATGAATCTGGCTTCCCCATTGACTACTGGTCAGAAGTTCACAAAAGGTGATCACATGACCCGGATATTGCAAAAGTCACAAATATGAGCCAGTTGCCAAGCGTCTGAATTTTGATCATGGAACCATGGGGTTGCTGCAATGATCTTAAGTGTGAAAAACGATCATAAGCCTCCGTTTGCAGGGCTGTTGTAACTTTGAATGGTCATTAAATGAATGAGTTGTAAGTCGAGGACTACCTGTAACTGACTTTGGAAATAACCATTTTAATATACTAAATAGCAGCCAGCCAATTAAGGTGTGGTCCTTTTTTAGCCCATTGCAGAACCTATCCACTTCAATAGACGTTTTATGGAAATTTCCACTAGTGGATATAATCTTGGGCAGAATTATTTTAATTTATACAAGAGTTCAAAATAGTGTGGGTGGGGGGAAATCCTCAATCTAGTAAACGGAGCAGCCCAGCTAAATTCATTATTGAGCTGCATTGCAGTTTTGTGTTTTTCTAAACGTTTTCAACTTGAGTGCATGTAATTGAAAAACTAAACGAATGTATACCGTCTCCAGATGATAAAAATATGTGATCTGATTCCTTATGTTCTGAATTTTAAAATGTTCTATAATCTCAGCGAGTTTAAATTTCTAAAAATGTTGTGTCCCAAGAATTAGTCTGAAAATCCTTTCAGAATTAGTGCTATAGGAAGGATTATTGCCACTGTCAGTGCATTAATATGTATACATTTTTTTCTTTTATGTTAGAGAAGTGCGTGACATTTTACAGATGGAAACAGTAAATCTGATCCATGTTGGGAAGAGGAAAATGCAAATCTGGATTCATGTGTACAGATGGGATTATAGGGAGAAGAGCTAGATGGGGCTCCCTTCCACTGACA